TAGTGACTGAAAGAAACCGTGGGACTTTTCTTGAAAAAGTTCATAGGTGGCCGATTTTATTTAGTATCTTCTTGCTGATGTATGGTTAAACATAGTGTTATTTTTTCATGGACAGTTCTCAATCTTTGGATCTTTAGCAAATGTTGGTGCAATGATTGGCGCAATTGCAAGCGGTCAAATATCAGAATACATTGGACGAAAAGGGGTATAATTCTAAGGCACTTTCAACTGTTTAGTCTTGTATTCTTAATGCCACAACCTTTCCTTCGCATTTCTGCTTAAAAAAAGAAATAAAAAGTTTTCACACATCAAATCTGTGAGCTACATGTCACCAAAGGAGCAACTCTACCGTTGGTCTAAAACTTTTCTCAACAATAGTTCAACACTATGATAATCTTTTATTTTTCTTTCTTTGGTTCTTTAGTAACTTTCCCAGTTACCTCATCTCTCTCTGAAATACAGACTCTAATGATTGCATCAATTCCTAATATTATTGGATGGCTTGCCGTTTCATTTGCCACTGTAAGTGATTAGTTGTTATCTCTTGCTCATTCTGATTGAATCTGCAATTTTATAGGTAATTTACTTGACCGTACATGCCCTTTTCCCACTTTTAACAGGATGTCTCATTTTTATATATGGGAAGGCTGTTGGAAGGTTTTGGTGTCGGCATTATTTCCTATGTGGTAATCTTAAGTGTTCAACTTCTCTACTTGTTCTTCTTGAAGTTATGGTTAATAGTCCTGCTTGGTGAATCTTCTTGCTTGTTATCTGTAGGTGCCTGTATATATAGCAGAGATTTCACCTAAAAACATGAGGGGAGTTCTTGGATCCATTAACCAGGTTGGTTTTGTATTGGGATTTAGAGATATCCCTGGTCACTCAATTCTCTAGGTTTTATGATATACAAATAAAAATGGCTCATTTTCAATTGAAAAAAGAAATAATTTGATCTCTTGGCATTAGCTCTCTGTAACAGTGGGGATTATGCTGGTATATCTGTTGGGATTATTTGTAAGCTGGAGAGTGCTTGCTGTTATAGGTGAGCAATACAGTTTTTCTTTTTAAATTAGCTTAATTGCAATAGTTTCCCTAACCATGTGGTGATTGACAAACTGATTGTTATCTTATTAACTTCTCTATTTTAAGATGGTAGAATTAGTAGGATTTTTTTTTAATCAAGTAAGCATTTGACGACGTTCATCTTGTTGAAACAAGTTTTTCATCTTTCTAAAATTCCCTTTCCTTCTTGAAATATTTGAAGTTATTCTTCATCTGCAAGTTCATTGAAGCAACTCAAAAACATTGAATGAGCTGATGTCTTTCTGTTATAATGTGAAGTCATTTGTATACCTGATTTTGAACATATTTATTAATAATCCTTTATGTCACTCTGCAGGAATGTTACCATGCATGGTTTTGATACCTGGTCTATTTTTTATACCTGAATCTCCTCGTTGGTTGGTATGAGTTCCAAACTTATGTTTGTCACAACTAGGTTTTCATTTTTACATTATACTGATGTCAATGCTGCATTATTTAGGCTAAAAATGGGCTGAATGAAGATTTTGAAACTTCTTTGCAAGTTCTACGGGGATTTGACACAGATATATCCTCAGAAGTGAATGAGATCAAGGTAATATGTGGAATGTGTTAAATGATGATTTCTCAACTATTTTGAACCCTCAAATTGCACTGCAAAAACTTCTTGCAATGCAAACTACTAAAAATGTGTTCATCATCATTTGATTCTCCTGTCCTTGTCTCAGAAATCTGTGAGATCATCAACTAAAAAAGCTACCATTCGGTTTTCTGAGCTTAAGATACGGCGATATTACTATCCTTTGCTGGTACACATTTGTGTTGAATTCCTTAATTATGCTGATTTATGTCTGGTATCCTTGACTAGACAAGGACTTGAAAGGAAACCCCCTACTCTTGTCAAGACTCATTTTATCGGCTGATTTTATTCAGGTAGGTATTGGACTACTCGCACTCCAGCAACTCAGTGGAGTTAATGGTGTTTTATTCTATTCCAGTAACATCTTCAAATCAGCTGGTCAGTTCCGTTCCTTGATTATCTGTTAGAAATGCATACCTGAATTAGCAATAGGAGCGGGGATTTTCCATGGTGCGCACCCAAAGGGGGTAGCTGCTGCGGGTTTCCCTTGTCATTAAAAAAAAAAAGAAAAAGAAATGCATACCTGAATCATCAAATGATTTGAAACTGGCAGTTACAAGTATTATCACACCATTCTTTTTGTTCTTTACTCTGGCTGGTAGAAACAGAGTAAGTAACAACCCGGAGAGCAGAAATGGGAAAAAGAATTCCACGTTTTGCATGAAGAGTATAATGAATTTCTTCCTCTGCATCCTAGATAACACCCTGCAATAAATATGGGATGACGAAAGACTTCGTTTTGTGTGAGGGGGGAGAGCTCAAAAGACAAAGTTTGAAGTTTTGAACTATCAACTTATTCCATCTAAAAAAGAAACTATCAACTTATTAATAAGAAAAGTATTAAAGCTATTAACTGTAAAGGAACCGTAGAATGTATATCACCTGGTAAGATCAAGCCTACTTTTAAGGTACTCTTGAAAGAAAAAACAATAAGTTGACTAAACACAATAAACAGTTTCTTTTTAAGTTGTTTTGAATTTTTATTTTGATGTTTGTGAAAACGAAGTTTTGATATTTATGTCCTTTTCAAATTCCTTCCAGTACTTCTTGCTTTTGCTTGAACGTATGCCTGGAAAATCTGCTTGATGGAAATTGATATGGAACTTAGCCATATTTCATGAGTGTCCATTCAAATATGCCATGCCTTTTGAACTATCATTTTCATTTTGTTGGTACCTGAGAAATGATTCCCATGTTGTGATGATCTCTCAATCTAAGATAATATACCATTATCCAGATTCACATACACTGCAGTGCCAAAAGGTAATATGCCCTTAAGCAGATCGACATATACTACAGTTTGGGTAAACAGCTTTACCAAACACCAGCTAGAGACTTGTATATTCATTCATGACCCAACCATGTTGTAGCATGATATCCACCTTGAACAAAATTTTTGATTACATTGTCAGCAAGAGGTGATGAACTGGAGAATTAGACAACAAAAAGTCGGGACCACATCTGATATCAGGATGAAGTTTTTGTAGTAGATTCAAGTAAAATAGGCAAGTTACTACGAACTATTGTCTTAATTCTACATTATCGCGTGCAGTATCCCACTCTAAGAAGGTATCACGAGCCTTCTCTTAATTTGCCAAATTAATTCCAGGTGTATCAGAATTAGACTTTATGTATAATACCGCCTAATCATAGAGACACTATGAAATGTTACAACTGGTTTGACATAGGAGTTTAATTGTAATGCTCTTCAAATTGGCAGGAATATCATCCAGTAAAGCAGCAACATTTGGTATTGGGGCTATTCAGGTAAGCTGGTTCCCTTGGATCTAGTCTTAGTTTATATTTATATATTATTCCAAGTTGATGTACATCTTTTATAGGTCATCGTCACTGGTATCTCTGCATCACTGGTGGACAAGGCGGGACGCAGGCTACTCCTCATTGTAAGCCCTTCCAGAAATTTCACATGAAGTTTCTATTGCTGAAAAATAAAACAAATGGATAACTTGATTATACTCTTTTCTTTAGGTATCCTCATCTGTAATGACTGCTAGCAGCTTGCTTGTTGCAATGTCATTCTTCCTGAAGGTCAGTTGAATTTACATTCATAATAATTGATCAAGCAATTTCCTGAATTTAATGAGATCTCTTTCTTTCTGTCGGGATTGACTTTCTTTATATGTCATTCCACAAACTTTTTCTACTCAATCCAGGAGTTCACCTCTGAAAATTGGCATTCATTCTTTGCAGTATTGTCTCTGGTTGGACTTGTGGTATAGTTCCTGTCTTACCTTCTATTGTTCCAACCCTATGATCCTAACCCCCCCCCCCTGCTCGCATCTCTGTTCCATTGTTGCATTCTAGCATATCTGAGACACTTAACGTATTAATTTTTACAGGCCTTGGTGATGGCATTTGGTGTTGGATTGGGATCCATACCTTGGATCATAATGTCTGAGGTATAACAAAGCTAATCTATAGTTCGGGAGACCAGGAAATATATATGTTCCTAAACATAATTAAAAATAGAGCATAGATGAAACTTGTAACATTTTCCGGAGAATGTGGTTGAGAAATTTGAGAAAAACTGACATACAGATCACCCCGTTAAAGGAGATAATATTAGTTTTAAAGGAAGATCAAGCATTATTGCAGGTTTCTTTAACATATTAAGTAACTGCCAGGACAAATTTTTGGTTCAAACTTTCTTCCTAGAAAATATTCTTACTGAACTTGAGATGTTATTCAAGGACACTAGCATAGGTTTTACGATTCTCTTTATTTTTTGGGATTTAAGAGCCTCACTGCTCTAATAAATAGTCCTATTGCACGACAATAGGAAGAATGATCTGTTTTTCATCTCTTGAGACATCAAGTTTTTAATTGGTTGTGCAGATTCTGCCTGTAAGCATCAAAAGTCTGGGTGGCAGTGTTGCAACTTTGGCCAATTGGTTTTCAGCATGGATTGTTACAATGACAGCAAATTTGCTTTTAACTTGGAGTAAAGGAGGTTTCTCTCTCTCTCTCCGTTTCTCTATTGGTATTCACACCATGCTTGGAGTGACTCTAAAGACTGTAAATTTGGCAGGAACATTTGCTATCTATGCACTGGTATCAGCTTTTACGGTGGTTTTTGTGAAGCTTTGGGTTCCAGAAACCAAAGGAAAAACACTGGAAGAAATTCAGCAGTCCTTCAGATGATACAAAATAAAATTGAGTAAGACGAGTATATGGAACAAGTGATGCAATTCCAGCCTGACTGAAAAGTTGTTTTTTTCCACTTCACCATGTACCGCTATATATTGTCCAAGAAGTTCTTCTCGTGTACTGCTAGTGCTTGTGGAGCTAACATCTGCAATTTGCAATATATGTTTGTATATATTTGTTTAAGATGATGATTTCAAATTCTGAACCCAAATTACATAGTAACTAATATTACAGAGGAAGCACATAGTTGTTTTCCTTTTCATTGACAAAAAGTTACATGATATTACGATAGTGAACTTTGCAGTAGTGTCCTTCACTTTTGGGCTTTTTCTGCATGCAGGGATGTAAGGAACTGCTTGAGACACTTGTTATAAACGCAAGGTCGTTCTAGGTGAACCAGATGCCCTGCCTTGTCTATGCCATGAAATGTAGTCTTCTCACCCAGTTGACTGGCATCAAGTAAAGCAAAACAATCAGGTTTATTCAAATTCTCTGTGGCACTTGTACTAAATTATTGTTGATGTAGTAGTTTGAATTATATACATGGGCCATATATTAAAATGGTGCATTATTGAACTACTTATTACTATAACTTCTATGTTAAAAAGTTTCTAATGTGAGATCTTGTATACTACTCCTGGAGCTCATATGTTTGTTTGAGTATATAATATAAGCCTGAAAACTTACTGTTTCATGTTCTGAGCAAGCTCCAAATTGAAAATTTGATCATTCTCACCCCAGAGGAGATGTATTCTCTGCCAAAAAAAGAAGTTGGAAAAATGGCTATGTTTTCTAGTTTTTTGTGTGAAATGTTGAAGAATAGAACTCATGAAATTCCAATTACCTGTGGAAAATTTGGAATACTTGTGTCTTTGTTGCTCACCACCAACCCTTCTAGCAGCTCTCCTCTTTCCTTTCTGTTGGTGAACATTACCTGACATATCGTCAAGTGAGGGACATTTTAGATATGAATCACAACGATGACATCAATGTTGTTGCATACTTGTATTAGTATAAATACAAAAATTCCTTTCTCTTTTTACCCCCTCTCTGGGAGCTCCCACCTCTTTTGGTGACTCGAACTCACAACCTTTAGGTTGAAAGTGAGAAGTGTTTACCATTCGAGCAACACTCTCTCGTCTATAAATACAAAAATTCCTCTCCAAGATTATTAATTTTATCTCACCAAAGTTATGAACTTGCTCTTTTAATATTATCGAAAGAAACTTGAGAGACATTCAAGAATTTGGTTAAGAAACTTGGAATTTTATTTGTCTTGCACTAACGGGTTTGAAATTGACGAAGTGACTGAAATGGGCTTTTTAGTCACTTGGTTTATTCACATATATATGACGATAAAAAAGTAGAAGATAGTTGATCGTAAAACGGTAAAAGCAGTTAGGTCTAGTTGGTTGAGCAAACTGGCAGTGATGTCAATAACATATGGCTGGATGACATGTGTAATAATGAACTCACAAATTATGCAAGTCTACGTGGTGCCCCCCCTTTTTTTTTCCTTCTTTGTTGACAAATGTGTAAAATGTAGTTATGGCCTTGTAGGAAAATGTATGCCATAATTTCTTCAACTTATTAATGAATTCAATTGTCTCCTCTCTTATTTTCCCTTTTTTATCTTTTGTTGGCAAAGAAAAATAGTTAGACTGTTGTATATAATTTTGCCTCTACCAAACTTTCAAAGTATAAACATTTTAGTTTGCCGTTAACTGATTCCTCAGTGGAGAGCATTAAAGCCACACGTAAATGATATACTATACTGTGACAACCAACTAACTAGTAATTTTTAGTTTATACATCGGTAAACATGAAGGATTCACGTCCGAATTTACATGAAAAAACTAAATATTTTGATACTCATGATCGATCCATGTGAAACAGAGAGAGTTGTAACTTTTTGTTAAATAAAAGAAAAATGAACCAACCTCGAGAAAATCTCTATGAAGACGATCAGGGAACCAAAGCTTCTTGTAAGCAGCCACTTTTAGCAGGGCCTTAAGACCCTTAACAGAGGTAGGCAGCAGCAGCTCCGAAGAAGATGAAAATCCCAAACCATTGAGCGTGGTAGTGCTAATGGAATCAGTCATCGCTAATATCGATCCAGACACCACCAACGCCTCAACTAAATCTGGAAACATTTCCGCCATCTTAAACGCCACCATTCCTCCATAACTAAATCCAACCACTACGCATTTTTCCACGCCTAATTTCCTCAGCCCTTTACCCAAACACTCTGCTTGAAAACCCGGCGATCTATCGGAGCTATCCGTAACTGATCCGCCGAAGAAAAGTAGGTCCGGTACATAAACAGAGTATTTTTTAGTTAATGCACCGATTTGAAATTGCCACGTCACTATTCCTTCGCCGGCAAAGCCGTGGATTAGTACGACCACGGGTTTGTTCGGGTCGGGTTCGGTGGTGGAATCAGGGGAAATAGCATATTGGTTGTTGGAGAGAGGAGTAGTGGTTGTGATTTTTTTGTTTTTCTTCGTTTTTTGAATTATGGTTTCAGAAGGAACCCAAAAATTCATAATTGTGCCTGGTTCTATCTCTATACTATGAGGTCTGATTCCAGCTAATTTCATTAGGCCATGTAACAATGGTTTTTGTGCTTCAACCAAGTTCACCATTTTTTTATTTGCAAGAAAAATGTTTCTTGTGTACGGAGGAATTAAGGATAGAAGAGATGAGAGGAAGGGGATTTTTAAAGTAAGGTTAGGTGTTGAGTTGTTATCCGTTATTCGTCATTAAATGTAACAAAGCTTATATTATACAAAAATTCAATGACCAAAGATGATGCAGTTGGTATATATAGTTGCATCTACTTCTAGAATAATTCTATTCGTAAGTGTATCTCTGTGAACTAGTTGACGTACTTGTATGAATACACTAAACGACTAAACAACCCCAAGCCCCACAAACCAAAACAAGAAAGAAAAAAGAAACAATCATCACCTCTAGAATTAGACCCAAAATTCATTTTTATTTTTATTAACAAGCATTTTAGAATATAATGAGTCGCAACATGGTCCATATAGTTGCCTCGAAAAACGCCCGAAGCCCCTATCTTTTGTGGTGAGTGACACTACACAAAAAAAAATATATATCATTAGAACTAATGCTGGCAAAAATTTTAACATTTTTTATTAATATCAATATTTAATATCGCTAAAAATTATTTTTGTCATAGTGTGGTGATCAAATGAATTTTCAACAATGATCGTATTTTTTGTATTGGACTTTTTTTTGTTTTTGATATTTAGCATTCGTATTTTAAGTTCAAGTAAAAAACTCCATAATAAAGACAATGTCATAATGCAGAGCTTGTTGGTTTACTCTCAAACTCAAAATTTATGTTTAAAGATAATGAAATACTTATCACTTCACTATAACTTTTGTTGGTTGCACGCCGTGAATATTTCTTGCTATGATAGCATTTAATATGATGAATTGTATATTGGAAGTTGAAATAATGCTGTGGCCGCAATTCACGTTTAATTAGAACCAAAAATATGATATTGACGAGTGACAACTATATATAGTACTAAGGTAGTTCAATGAAAAGGGCCTTCTGACTTCAATTATATTATTCAACAAGTCCCATTCATTTTAGCTAACAAATTTATCTTAGCATTGAAATGAGGTGAACTACTTCTTGATAGAACTTGAATCTACCTTAGAATTTATCAAATTACTCCAAATACTTACCACTAAATTAGATATGTGCTCTTCTTCAAATCTAGCTATATATGACTATCAAGTCTCTATCTACATGCTACTGTATTTTGGTCTAACATCCAATTCAAGTTCACATAATTTTTGTTGAGCTGGTTAAGAGTGATAGAGGAACAACTTGTCATCAAACCTCTACTACGTCTTCATATACTTTTTTAAAAATTATATCTACCAATTTGACATAAGAAAAATATTATTGTTACGGCGCAGTAATCATGGAACTTATGCAATTTGCCGATGGTACGTACTTTGTCTCATTCTTTTGAGTCAATTAAAAGGCCTACCACTCGTAGAACGTAGGATATATGTGTACTCACTTAATTTTAAATAAATTTAAATAAATATTGAGTATATTGAAGGTGATGTCATCAGTTAAAGACCAAGTTAAAGAACATGTTTGTATATTATGTCTTTATACGCATAAATCTATATGCGTAGGTTTCGTTGAATGGGACATATATATGTTGATTGAATGGGACATATAGATATTGAAAGAGACTTCTAATTCAAAGTATTAATTATGATAATTCGCGGAGAGAAAGTGAAGCTGAATCTTGTTGGAGAAAACTGTCAAAGATTTAATCCTTGTACACTTCAACCAACTTTTTGCACACCTCCTACCAATACATATAATAGTAATAATAATAATAATATATATTAGTATATCTTTGTTTCAAGATTATATCCGTTGAAAAACTTAATATAATGATGATAAAAAAATGTCTAATTTACACTGACGATTATGTGTAAAACATATAGTAAATCCATAAAATAAACGTTCCAAGAAAATTATCACTTTTTAGTCTATTTGACACAATCTAATTAGAGAAAAATTGAGGAGCATTTTTTTACGGTACAAATAGTTTGAAGATCATGATTAATCAATTGGGGATTTCTTGCACGTCATTTTACATATTTTATGGCCTTGATGGGGTCAGTTTACTATTAAACAATTTATTATTAATTGAATGCTGATTATCATTTGTCTTCCTATACAATACAAAGTTTGTTTAAATTTTGATCAACCACACTACCTACTTTCGACCCACATTGCACCGATCCCTTTCATTTGTGTAGACTTTTTTTTTGGGGGGTAAGCCAATAATTAAAGCAGAGTGACTATACGAGAAATGTGTATACACATTTATGTATTGTGCATTACGACTTTTCTGTCTACCTAGCTAGCTTCACAATCAATGATAAATAACATTTTTACTTACTTTATTTTAGGTGACTCGAACTTTGATATAAGTTTGTGGGTGATTTCAAATTTGGGTAGTGTATTTTACTTGGGATGAAATAGAGAGATTGTTTTCGAATAAACAACCTTAACTCAACCAAAAAAAAAAGTTTATAATGATTATGAATATTTATAGTTAACTATCATGAAAGCAATTTCCTTGTCCATGCCAAGAGTTATGGGCTTCAGTAGTATAATGGCCAGGTCATTTCATCTGCTCCGTGGGCTATTTAAAGGGATCAACACTAGAAGCCCAACCTTCATTTCAACTGATACTAGAATATTATTCCGTCATTTTCAATTAAAATATGTTTGTATCTAATCATAGTATAATATATTTATTTGCTATCCAATAGCTTTCGATATGATTAAAATACCATATTCTGGCAATTAACAGAAGGAATAAATGAAGTAGAGTAGCCCTGGACACAGAAACACGAAAAAGTTGACCTCTTTACATGACGTTTCATTTGTCTCATATGACAATATGCAAATTCATTACTTTGAAATTGGGGCAGTTCATTTGGATTGTCTTGAAAAATTATGTCGTATATAAAATTAAAATTATTTATTTTAATTCATATACGTAATAAATATTGAATTTTATTGATTTATTCTCGTATTTACTTTTAAATATTTTGATAAAAACAAAATCTTATTCTGCCACTCAAGAGTTTGATAAAAGTTGAAAGGAGTTGCCAGAGAAGTTTAGCAGAGCACAATGAGCGAACTCCAATAAATAATGTTGGGGTTTTAAAATTGACGGTTTAAACTTGTCCAAAAATAAAAAAGTTTTATAATATCGAAGATTTATGTGATGAATGTTCCTTAAATGTGGTTATTTCTAATTTATATTTTAAATGGTGGTAAATAGGCAGTCCAAAAACTAGCCACTACACCTAAATTTTTCCAGATTAGTCCTTCACTTTGTATATGTCTTTCACATGGTAAACTTATCTTCAACCGAATCTTGAAGACCCAATAGTGAATTGAAATTTCTCTTGTTTCAATTTATACCACATAAATATCTCTATCTTTTTTTTAATTATAATTTTTTGTCATGCCTAGATAAATTGAGACACAAATGAAAAGCCATAATTAACGTATTTCAGGCACCCGAAAGAGCCAAAATGGAACATCACATCATGCAATGCATACATACAGAGAGCCCTTTAGTTTTCTGTTACAGCTAAACACTGCAATTTCATTTTCATGTTCTTCAGGACCATGCTGTACTCAGTGTTCTGTCCTGTTGCACTTCAAACGAAAAGACCAAAAAAAAAAAATTGTTGTTTTACCAACTGATTTGACTCAATTTGTATGACTATAAATCATTTCGTTAACTATAAAATAGAATTTTAAAATTAAAATGTTTCCAACTATTGGAAGGTAACAAATCAAAAAAAAAAAAGTTTGTACATATAAATTAAAACATAAAGAGTAATTGTTACCAAAATAATCATCTCAGTCATAGTTAACTCAAACACTGATTGAAACTAATATTTCAGTTGTGGCCCAGAATGAAATGAAATGAAACGAACTACTCGTACTAATTAATAAATTAGGGGCGGAACAAGGTGCAGAGTGTAAGATTTGCACTATATATCTAAGTTTAAATTTTAATTTTTTTATGTTATATATAATAAATGTTTATCTAAATATATTTTCACCATATGATGGCTTGTTATTATATATAATAAATGGCAAATCTTTTTTATCTTTTATGTGTATTTACTTTGTCTTGAATTTCTAAACAAAAATTTCGACTCTGCCACGATTACTAATTCAGAAATGCAGGCATGTAGCAGTAGTGTAGCAATAATTCTAGTGACACACAGAAAGCTAAAAAGAGAGTGTTTCAGAATTTGCCGGCAGCATAAACAGTCGAAAACTTTCAGTTGATAAAGAGAGCAGTGTTGGTGGATCATCATATTCAAGAAAGTGTAAATTATATGGACTAACAGAGAAAAAGTGATAGGAGTCTCAAAAGTAACATATGTATATATATAGATATATGATTGATCATCATCAAAGTGAAAAGTTAAAGATACTAGGAGTAATGTATATAACAACTAGTACCCAAAAGGATGGAAAAAAGCCAAGAAACATAAAAACATAGAATTAACTCATTTTCACTCCATCTCTATGAAAGAAAGACTTTGGACCATAAAAAGATAAAAAGAATTTCTTCAACCATGGCCCACCATCATCATGACACGTCATCAAATAGTTTCATCTCCCGTTTTAATTTCTTCTCCTCTTGAGATTAATGATTAAACCTTGATCCTACTACTTTTGATTTTAAAAAAAAATAAAAAAAAATCATCTAGTAAAGTCATGAACAAGGCTAGGCCTATCAGCAACATTGAGACGCCAAGGAAAGAATGGAATGGCGGTGGCGGCAGCATCGGAGTCACGGTGATGCTCATTATCCTCAATGAACCTGAACTCATTTCCATAACTAGCTGAAGAGAAACAAGCCATTTTTGTTGGCTGTGAATGGTGATGATGATGAACCCAGTGTTGATGCGTCGTCGTTTCCGCTCCTCCTCCACCATTAGCCGTCGCTGCTGCTGCACTCGCTCTTCTCTCTTCTTTCTTAAAACGAATTCCACACGCATTGCAAAGTGACTGCAAAAAACATTTTAAGAAAAATAAATAATAATCTTACTTGTTCATCATTATAAAATGTAAATAAATAAATTAAAAATGAATCACATATACCTTAGGTCCTCTAGGTCCATTTCTCCAAAGAGGTGTAGAA